TGGCAGACCACCTTTTCAGTAGTGGTAGAATGAGTCAGGTCCGGAAATTCCATTATTGCCCAATGTTTTATTTTCATTACATTACCAGGAGAAATTCATTTGAGGGCAATTTCGGTACTGGGCCATATTTTCTGCCACAAATCTATCACATGGGCCCGATTGATTTTCAGCAAAAATCGATTTTCCAAGGCAAAAATCGGGACCAGACACGCCCTAAGCCAGACACGCCCTAAGGAAATGGGATATTTAATTAATATGAATTTGATATCTATTTTTCAAAATTTATTTTTGCTTAAACTCGTTTTTAACCAAACATTTTATCGATTAATAATTTTATACTTGGATCCATAACTTTTTCTTATTTTATAAGCACAAATTGTTAAAAAAAAATCACTTTCCACAAAATCTATTCTAAAAAATTTCTACCAAAGATATGATTTTTTTTTTGGAACGGAAGAGCACATGCATGAGTTATCCTTGAGCCTAAACTTCCAATTTTTTTTTTTTACCAATGTATTATAGTTTCAGTTTTCAAAATTTAAATTTTATTATTATATTGTTCTATCTCATGAATTTACTAATTTATCCAATTTTTTTCCCACTAAACCAACCTGTCTATTTTCCGTTACCTCAACACACCAAATGACAATATTAAAACCCTTAACGGCTCAACCCATCAACCCCAAACAACAAAACCAACAACCCGAAAACAAACGTATGTAAGATCCACCCAAGGGTTGAATTAGCCCCCAGTTGCAGAGATTAAAATCAGGTTATTAGTAAATTACTAAATTTTGATAAAAAATGATGAAATGTATGGTTAAAAAGTTTTGGGTCTCATGAAATGTGTGGTTAAAATTAATTATTGACTTTGACTTGAAATTTTAATTGAACTTTAGTCCAAACCAAATATGGGCTTAATAAACCATCATGAAGACAATGCCAACAATGATCTAATAAGGATAAAATTGCTATTAATTTTTCTTTATCCTTATTTATTTATTTAAAATGGAAGGGCAAATCCATCGCTTAATGGTCAAAATAAAGGGAATGACAAGTTTTGTTACATCTTTGAAATATTGTGGATGGACTATACGAAAGAATAATTTTGGGTAAATTGTTACATTTCGAAAAGGTTGTGGACTAAAAATGAATTTTTTCCAATGTAAAACACATTCGCTATGAATACCGTAACACGGAAAAGGGCAAAGTAATTAGAGGGGAAAAAATCCCAGGTTTCTGATTCAAAACTTGACGGGGACGATTGTTTCAAGATAATCAATTTGAGCAATAGAAAATGCCAGTGAGAGTAGTGGAGACTTCTTCACCTTCCCAAGTTTCAGGTTCCCGATCTTTTTCATTTTGACCCCTTCTCGGCAATTTTTGCAATTTTAATTTTTTGCATACATTCTGCATCAAGATTTGTAATTTATCCTTTTTTTTGGGACTGAAACTGGGAGTTTTAGCGATTACTTTCATAATCTCGATTTGGGTCTACATCATTCTGTATTTTTTTTTGTGAAAAAAAATCAAATTTCTTTAAGAAAAATAGAAAAATAAGCTCTTCGTTGATTTTGTGGGAATAAATTGGAGATTTATTTTATGTGAATAATAGTTTTTCCATTGGTAGTAAGTAGTAACTAGTAAGGAATATATGTTTTTGAATTATAATTGGGATGATTTGGTACTAATGATCAATATAACTATGCAGGTACAACTCCAGGAAACAATACTCCTCCACCTTGTACTCTTTTAAGTGTTGGGCAGGTAATTTCTGCTTCTTCAGTTATAATTGTTAGAGTTTTTATGGGCTTTTAATATATTGACAAGCGTTAATAATTAACTACACAATATACAGTTTTGTGAAGCCAGGTACGATCGTATTATTGAATTTGATATTCTGGATTATTTGAAAATGTCAATTTGCAATTGGGAAATATTGGGAAAATGGGAAATATCAAATTCAGGGAATGAATTTGGATGGATTGCTAATGAT